AAAGGGGAGGTATTGAATTGCAAGTCCAAGTTCCCGTGCTAATAGTCTAGAACTTGCCCCAAAATATTTTTCTAAGCGAAATTCTAAGTATAGCTTGGCTTGAGAAATGATTGTAGGATCTCCTTGATCCGATTTGAAGTTTGAAATCTTCTATAGCCTACCAATGTGATATCCCTAGTCAACCCATTTGAGCCTAAGCCTTTTTTTTGTTCTTTCAATAACCACGTTACAAGCCTTTATCCATTTTGTAATAACCCTCTCTTGGCACCCAATCTTTCCTTAACATTCTTAAGAAACAATTGGCAAAAATATAAGTTTGGGGGAGAGACGAGAAGCTTGAAAGTGATAAAAGGTACAAAGAAGAGAAAGAAAGGAAGAAAAGGGAAGGCAAAGAAAAGAAAGAAAGAACAAAAAGAAAAATGCCAAAAAAAAAGTGAATAAGGTAGAAAGTTGAAGGGATTCAAAGAAAACAATGATGAAAGGCATGAAGTAAATAGAAAAGGAGAAAAATGAATGTCATGACCAAGAAAGAGTGGCGTTACGTCTCTCTAGTTCCCCCGAGAAAAAAGGAATTGACTCAAAGAGTCGACAAAGTATGAGCCAAAAAAAAGAAGAAAAAATAGAGTGCTTAAGGAAAGATGAAAGCATTCTATTCCAACAAGTCCTACCTTAATCCAAAAGCCTTAATTACACCCCGTAAAAGCCCTACATGATTTCAAGTTGAGTGAGATTACATTAGTGGTGATTTACATAAAGGGCAAGCTTATGGTACTTAGAGCCGGACTTGTGACATTCTTTTGAGAGAGATAAGCGAACTTTTCAAAATTCTTGCATCGAGTGTTACATTCTAAAGTGAGATATGCTAATGGAGAGTAGATGCGAAGGAGTTTGGGATCCACAATGACCTACATGAAAGAGCGAGCTTCCTTGATGAATAATGTCAACTCTTGATGCTCTAGTGTCACATTAGAACTACTGTACTAAAAAAGTCAAATCATTGCATTGTTGATAATTCATATATGTTGTGGGTAATTATTGGTACCAATTGATGTGTGATTGATTCATCTTAGGCCAGCTGAAATATCTTTTTTTTAGTGGAGGTAAAAATTGTCTTAATTGCTTGAGGACAAGCAAAAACTTAAGTTTGGGGGAGTTGATAAATAGGGATTTTGACCGCTTATTTACTCTCTTTTACTTGCGTTTTAGCTCAAAAATACTTAAAGGTATTTCCGAGAACTAATAAAATGTGCTTTCGTGCAGGAATATTGGGAGACGAGCCAAAGAAGGCAAAATCAACTCATAAAGGAGTCAAAAATGGACAATGACCAAAACAAGGCAAAAAGGCCCACAGTGCGGACCGCACAATACTGTGTGCGGCCGCAGAACAATGAAACATCACTGTCACATGTTCTTCAGAGTATGCGGACTGCACAAATTATTGTGCGGCCACAGAAGAGGAGATTCAGAGAGTTAGTTTTTGGGCAGGCTGAAGATATGCGGACCGCACCATAATTGTGCGGCCGCAGGATGACAAGTGCGGCCGCACTCATAATTGTGCAATCCGTAGAAGAGAAGAATCAGAGAGCCATGTTCCAGTTCAAGTTCAAGTGTGCGACCGCACTCAGAATTGTACGTTCCGCATAATCAAATGAAGTGCGGCCGCATCCCACTTTTATGCGACCGCAGAAGGCCAGTTGACCAGTCAAGCTCAGAGTGCGGACCACACACATAATTGTGCGGCCGCACAACCTCCGCAGGGGCATTTTTGTTAGATATTTTCAACTTAGTATAAATAGAACGTTTTATCATTTTTAGGGTAAGTTTTATTTTGGGAGAGCACCTGAGCCATTTTTCTTTACTGTTTTGAGTAATATTGTACTTGATTAGCTTCTAAACATTAGATTTATTTTTCCCTAATCAATTATTATGTATTCTATCTTAATTTCTTCTTGTATTTCTTCATTTTTCATGAGTAGCTAAATTTCTAGCTAAGGTTGTGGCTCAACCCTAATGTGGGTACTTAATGGGTATTTGATTTAGGACTTGTTTGTGATTGGGTTAGTGATATTTAGCCTAGTTCTTGCTTGAATTCAAGAATTAATGGTTGCAAACATTGATTCATGCCTAATTGACTTAGTCTCTACTTGAGAAAGAGAGACTAAGTCTAGGAAAACTTGGCTAACAAGAAATTGGGGTGAACTCAAGAAATTGATAGCCCAAATTTAAAGGGTTGAATCTAGAGATAGTAAGACCTGACTTGAGCATTTATTACTTGTTTTGTGCAATACTCATTTGGACTTGAGAAAGCCGAATTGGGTAAAATCACTCAAACTACCGAGAGATATAGAGTGGGTAATTGCGTGTGATTGCTATATTACAACCCCGACCAATCAAACTTGCCCTAGAGTTTACAACCCATTAGGTAACCACCTAGGTGGAAGTCACGACCCTAGATCTTTTATCATTTGAAAAATAACCAAAAACAAAAATATTGTCTTCTAGTTCTATAATTGCAATCAATAGTTTAAAGTAGAAGTAGAAACAACAAACAAGAATGTGGAAGTGTAATCTAAGGCATATCGTACAATTACACTAAATATATACCTAATCCCAATTCTAACTCCCTGAGGATTCGACCCCGACTTGCGTTGGTTTTATTATTGCTTCGACCGCCTCACTACATATATTTGTGGTGTGAGTTTGGGCGACATCACTTACAAGAACAAGTGTAAAGCAGTGTGTGTTACGAAAATTAGCACCAGGCAATCACTATTATCCTTACCCTTAAAATCGGATAACAATTAAATTTGTAAGTGGTTTTAAGGATATGTGATTTCACTTGGCACAAACTGAGAAATATGAAAATTGAAGTTAGCAATTAACTGTAAAATAAAGCAAACTGACATATTATACAGCTTTGGCCCTTGAGCTAGGTTGCACTAGCACCAACTAAGTGTATTATTGAAGAGTAAGAACTGAACTACTGAATAAGAGAGCTTAAGAGAGAAAACATAATATATTGCTTTATTATGCGTGAATCTGTCCTTACAAAATGATTGGAACCCCCTTTATATAGTAGAAGAGTTTTACATATGGTACAATTCTAAATACAGAAGGAAATCTCCTGATTGGCTAATTAACCGGTCTTGACTTGATACATGTCGAGATCTCCGCCACAATCCTCGCCCGGTCACGAATTCCTCGGCTTTCTGTTATTCGACTTATCAGGCTTCCTTCGATCTTGCTAGATCTCTATCCTTCTCGGTCTCGACCTTAGCTGGTCTCAATGTCAATCGATCCCTGAATCACGAGGTAGGCAATATTTATTCATGTAACGATCCAATATAACTTGGGATTGAATCTCGGTCTGCCACCCCGGTCTCGATTAACCATACAAAATCCGGCAAGCCCGATACTGACCGTATACACATGTCTTTTTTTTCTTCTTTTTTTTAGAGAAAAGGAAAATACTTATATTAATGTTAAGTACGATCCTGAATATTACATTCCATACTAATGTCTCTTAAAACATTTAAATTACGTATACTAGCCAGCCTATTACATACATTATCCGGTAAGTGTTCATGTGCGGGGGTGAAGCTACGTTGGCCCAAGGGTGGTCAGTTGAACACCCTTCGCTTATGCTATGTATAAGGTAAAATACTTGTTATTGACTAAAAAATAAACTTTGAACAACCTTATATAACTCACTAATCATTAGTCACTAGTCAATCTTTTTAAATTTTCTGGTTTCGCTAGTGTTGACGTGAGATAAGTAACATTTGAATACGTAATCATTCTTCCTCACCAAATTATTTGGAGGAAAATCCCGAATACATTTCCATTTCATTTTCTTCCTCAATTTCTCGTGGCCTACTTTCCTCTCACCCTCCGTCAATACCAATCTTTAAACTCTCTGCAATCGAAACCCAATAAAGCGAATGTAGCAAAATTCTCGAATCAATTTGCACGCAAAATTATTTTAAACATATATGTATCTTTTCGTAAGTACAAAAAACAAATTTCATATGCTTAAGTAGATAGAAAAAACCACATAATGTTTATTCCTCCGTCTCCTTTTAGTTGTCATATTTCACTTCTTAAAATTCTTGACTAATATTTTTAAAATATATATTTTCATCTTTATTAAGATGGAAAAGATTGCAATTTGTGTAGTACTTTTTTAAAATATTAAAATTTTAATTTTTAAATATTAAAGTAATCTAATTTAATTTGACTTCCAAGAGTAATTAAATCAACTCTAAAAAGAAAAACATAGACAACAATTAAAATGGAATGGAAAAAGTAACTTCTCCAGAAATTCTAGCTCTCGTTTCTGACTTCATCAATTGCTGCCGAATTTGTACCAATCCCCTAAATCATAACCATTTACCTATTAAACCAAATGAAAAAAGAAGGTTTTGACTTCCAATTTCTAACTATCTAGATCATTGTTTTACACGTCCCAGGAAACACTTCCTGGAAACACATGCACAACACATTCCTAATTAATTTTACAAATTGAGGTGAAAATATCCAATTCTATCGTTATATTCTCTGTTTAAATCATACTATAATACAAGTTACCATTTTAGGAAAAGATCTAACTGCCCTTAACAAGAATAACACATGCTTAAGTTGGCTGACTAAGATTCAAAAGAACTTCAGGTGTTATTGAAGCGGCTATCCTTTATCCTCCAAGGGGCCACAATGATTCTGTCTTTCACGCTTCGATATATATCGTTTGACGTGCGGATGTATAATATATATAGAGAGAGAGAATGCTGATCCTGAGACGGTTGGTCTAGTTATAGCTAAATTAGACATAGTACGTCACTTCATATTTGACAAAAATCAAATATATATAACGAAAGCAAATAGTAATAGAAGGCCAATATACTAAGAATAGGATAGAACCATTATCGACTACTAGAATCTCTGCATCAGTTTAACGTGTATACGGAGACACAAACACGCCAATTGACCTACGTCAACAGAAAAAAGGAAAGCCACTAACAATTATATAATAGCACCAAACTGGAAAGAACAAAATTGACAGACAGACATTCATGTAGAATTGAAAGCAACAAAGACTAGACCCTTCAAAAACTAGAAAAGAACATACTTCAGTCCTTTTTTCTTAAACTTACACCACCAGCTATTCTATGATGATCAACCAAGCAAGCAAATGCTATATATTGCTACAACAGTATATTACCCATAAGCTAAAACCCGACTACCATAAGATAAAGAGTACGTACTTCCCACGCAAATACAACATTCTTATTTTCATAATCCCACTAATTAACTATTTTTATATTGGATTATATCTAGTGATTGTGATTATGATGACCAGGCAACTTCTCTTTGATCTTCTCCATCATACTCTTCTTCTCATGCTCATGGTGCTCTGGTGCAGTACTAGTAGACATGGCACTGGTTGTTGTTGTCGTTCCGGCACTGTGTTTGTATTGTTCTTCCTCCTTTGACTCCTTGTGCTTCCCAATGGTTAATTTCTCCTTTATCTTTTCTTTCAGCCCTTTCTTCTTCGGCCTCCTCCCACCTTGTCCGTCATCCTCTGACTGCACTCGGTAAATATTCAACAGTGTTAGATAATAATAATAATAATAATAATAATAATAAATTAGTACTACTCAAAAAGCAAGGAAGAGCTCGGACTTGGAGATTATACGTGAAAATGAATAAAATGTAATACGTGAAAAATATGTTTATTAGTAATGGACGCGTGGCTTCAAATAAAGATTATACTTGCGATATCATAAGGTAACACTGACTTACACTTAGAATAATAACAAGTTAATTTGCATTAGTAATAGTATAAAAATTCATTCTTTTCACGGTATAAGAAAACGGAATTTCATCGAGGTCTATATAGAATTCAAAGACAGAATGTATAAAGGAAAAAAAATCTAAAAAAATAAATAAATAAATCTCGTGAGGTTGAAAGGAACACATAAAAATAATAAATCAGCTTGAACAAAAAAAAGGATGAGAAGTCATGTTTGAGATGAGATATATAAGAAATCATACAGAGCTAGAGCTTGAACTGCCGGACCGGTGGAGCTCCTCCTGTTGTTGTTTCTCTTCTTGTTGTAGTTGCTGTTCTTTTCGAAGCTGTTGTTGTTGCTCCGACTGTGGCTGCTGGTGCAGTATTCCACCAACAGTCGTGGGTGCAACCCCAGAGCCGTCAGTGGTGGCAACCCCAGTCGGAGCAACCCCAGATCCGGCAGTGGTGGCAACCCCAGTAAGGTGCATGGGGTTACCATGCTCATCGGTTAGCTGCACCGGGTGTCCATATTGGTCTGTCAGCTGAATTGGATTTCCATGCTCATCACGTAAGTCCGCCATATTCTCACGAAATATATTCAAAGATAATTGAAAGGGAGATGGAACAAAACGGATATCAGTACTTCTTTCTTGTTTAGAAAAGCTAACTGGTGATTTTAAAAGGAAAACATCGTGTAAAAAACGGTGGAGCAGCAGCTGTTTCTGCATGAGTGCGTTTAATGGGATGGTCACACGTATGCAGGAATAGCATCGCTGAGATGCTTGGTGCTGCCACGTAGGAGTTTTAGGACACGTCTTTGGTCTAAAACGACAATAAAATTCAGATTGAGTCGTTTCGAAAACATCATCTTGATTCTGCTCAATTAGACCACTAGAGGACAATACGGTCCTCTATCTGTTACAACTACTAGACTTAAAAATGTATATTAGTACATCACGAACCTTCCTATGGTTAATTTTGGCAGTTTTATGTAATTTAGTTTATTATTGCAGGTCACTAACACTTCTAACAAAAAAATAGTTGCAGGGCTTAAGTAATTTTTGATGATATAAATTTCTTCAGCTTTTGTTGTACAAATATTAATTGATGAACTACTGTAAGTCGTTGCATTTTTGTTTTATTTATTATATCCAACATTCTCTTTTCTCTAAATTTAGATTGCGGTACGTGTAGCCGTGATACAGGAGTTAACCGGCTCTATCACATTTCGCGTTGCGTACATATGATATATTTGTCTTTCGAAAGCTTTATGTACCATTACTAGAGTTCAGGTATCTTGTGTTTGATTATTTTCTAGTTGAGTGCAAATAAAACTTCACTATTGTCGAGGTTACTGGCATACTAACGGACCCATACAAAAGCATGGTTCTATGCTGCAGATGCCATGAAGAAACAACTGTAGTTACTTTGCGGTAACAGTAACTAGCCTTTCGTAAATGAGGATTGAAAAAGGTGCAACTGTAACTGAATCTTGAGCACAATATTAAAGATAAAGAGATGGCCAGACAGAATATCCCACGTACAAGGGCTAAAATATCATTACATCTTTAGGCCGGCATACATATAATCGAGATACCTGCTGCAGATTAGAAGCATTTAGACCAGACAGTCTTCGGGATAATTTCATGCCCCCTTAACATGGAACAAAACAAACTTGAATGTACAAGAAAAAACTACCAACGGATACTATGCACTTTTTTGTTTTCTTTTCCTATATAATGAATTGATCATTAATCAACTTGTATTGTATTCCCAATTTCTTACATTGTATACTTTCAAAAGCTAACCTAAATTCTGGGAATCCATATCCGCCAGCAAGATCCTGACGCTTTTATGGCTCTCTACTATCCTTCCAAGGTGAGAGAGCTGACCCGTCGCATCTGCAGATTTTGGGAACAATGCAATTCACTAGTCAGAAAACGAGATTTAGATACTTTACAAGAGAAGGATCTTTGTGATTTAAATCTATCAGAACAAGGGAGAATATAATAGGCAAGAGAACATTATGATACTCCGAGATAAATTTCTTTGTGAAGACATTTTATATTGTTACCATTATCATCCACCAAGAAGCTTTACTCCTTGCTAGATCTTGACCAGAAAAAACCCTTTTTCCGGGTGGAAAGGCTCTCGGTATAGGGTTTTGTTCCCTTGGAACCAAATGAAAAATGACGCAGCAAGAAGGGCTTTCCCGAAGAGCTCTTCATGCTGGAACTTGAGCTCATCTTGAGACACCTTCCGCCACGTTCACTACTTTTCTGTCGATCAAACAGTGCAAGGCTGCCACTAAAATCACTGTCAATAATCCGATTCCTGAATCTCTTTCGAGCTTTCAAGTCCATCTGAGCTTTCATTGCTTTTTCAGACATCTTCAACGCCTGCTTCTCCCCAAAAGTACAAACAGGACAAGCTGGGTCATACTTGTTGATTTCAGGTGTCATACTCTCCAAGCACTCAGCATGAAAAACGTGGCCGCAAATTAGAACAGAAACAACAGCAAGTTCATTTGAGGCCCACGAAGATCTCTCTGTTAGCAGCTTCGTACAAATGCCACAGGCTTGGAGATCTACAGAAGGTGAACTGGAACTTCGACCACTAGCTCTGCTTACCTTGTCACGATGGAAACTCATGGATTCACTATCAAATGACCACCTTTCTCTACGAGGATTTGCAAGATCAGAGAAGGCAGGAACAGACCATCCATCTGATGATCCACCATTAGAGGCTCTTGTCGATTCATTACTCCAACCAGGGAGCACCAAGGATGATGATTCTTCAGAAATTGAGAAAGTAGGTGACTTTATCCCTGGTGTATGACTATCAGAAACTTGCCGTCCGAGCTGGTGGACAGAAGAATAGTGAGGCAAAGGAGTAGAGCTTGCAGGAAGCAGCTGACTTCTTGATGATAAAGGAGATGTAGATAATGATGAAACAGAGGGAACTGACGGAGCAGGAGAGGGGTATGGAACTGCTGATGACTCGATTGATTCTTTGACCTAATTACCAGATGAAAGGAAATCAGAAAGGTCAAAAACTTACAAAACATGTCTGGAAAGTAACTCCAGCAAAACTAATAACTGCTCTGTTCTTACCTCTGTGGAATTTCTCACAACCGATTGATCTGCAAAGGCAAGAAAACTACTGTTATTTTACGAAGTACAAACAGCATATATTGTCTACCAACAGTGCATCAGTTTTTCTTTCATGTCATATAGAACCAAAGGCCACGAAACAGAATATCCTATTCTAATATCTTGAATCTTACAGGTCCCGAAGAATAATGCAAATGATGTTCCATTTCCGACAGAATTGGCAAATTAAAATCACCAAACATCAGAACAATTGATCATCCTCAGGTCACAATCAGATTATAATAGCCTGTTTGGCCAAGCTTCTTCAAAGGCAAAAGTGTTTTTTTCCCCAAAAGTACTTTTTTTTAATTAACTTAAGGGGGGGAAAAGTGCTTTAGGGAAGAAGCAGAAGCAGTTTTGACTTTTCTTCCTACCAAAAATACCCTTGACAAAATATAGTATATAGCAAAATAATCTTATTTTATATCTAATACTTGGGATATTAATTTATAAATATTTCTTTTAATTTTTAGGAGAGCTTTCTAATATATAGTGGCTTCAGAAATAAATTCTTTTGTACTTGCTGAATAATTTTTTAATATATTTAAATTATCATAAAAGACTTAAAGTAATATTCTACTTAAATAGAATGAAAAGATTTAATTATTGTATTTAATAACAAACTTTTGAGACTATTTATTTATTTATAATATTAACTATTAAGTTAATCTATTCATGTCCTTATTCATAATTTGATACTTAAAAAGCATTTTTTTGAAAAGTTTGGCCAAACCAAATTATTGCTCAAAAGTGTTTTTCAAATTGATTAGCCAAATACAAATTGGTTTTCTCCAAAAGTATTTTTCGAAAAGCACTTTTGAAAAAAATACTTTTCAAAATAAGATAACTTTTCTAGCTTGGCCAAACAGGCTGAGAGATGTTGGGGTACAAAAAGTGACGTCTACCTTAAGACATGTAAAATAGGCCATAATATATATTAATGAGTAAATTTATGTCGAATTGAGCATGATGATTGGTTTCTAGCTTCAAACATGATTAAATGAAATCAAATGAATCAACTAATAATGTTTGAATAAGTCAATGATTTTTTATAACCAGGTATTTCCAACTAACTGCCTACACATGATATGCGTTTTAAAAGGCGTGGACGTAAGGCGAGGTGTTTTACATATGCCTCAGCGAG